ACCCCCCCCCGACCAGCCTCCCTCCCATTTGGATGGATCAGCATCAAAAAAAAAGTCTGCCTCCAGGCCGGCGTCCTCCGCATCTCTTCGGTCTGAATTCGTACTGGTTCGCCCAACGGGTCTGGCACGGTTCGGTTTTTTTTGCATGCTTATAGGAACCTATAGGAAATGGTAGGAACCCATAGGAAATGGTAGGAACCCATAGGAATGCGTAGGAAAATGCATAAGGTTCCTACAAGGTTCCTACCAATTCCTACCAGTTCCTAAAGGTTCCTACAAGCATGCAGCAATGCAAGCAAATCGAACTGCTCGCAGACCCGTTGCGCAAACCAGTACTAAACCAAACCCCTCAGACCCGTTGGGCAGACCAGTACCGAACCACTCCCCCTCGGCGAGCCTCCAAACAGGGGGCCATCCATGCTACCTGCAAAACGGTTGGGCTGACCAGTATCCCCCCACACCAGTTGGGCGGAACAGCAAAAAGAAAATCCACCCCAGGTACCCTTTTCGGAGGCCTCAAAAGCGTTCAAAATCACTCAAAAAACAAGCAAAAGCGTGCAAAAACAATCAAGCCAAAACAAGCAAAAACTGTCAAAAACAAGCAAAAAGCCAACCAGCGGAAGGGTGCAATCAGGGTGCAATTAGGGTGCAATTAGGGTGCAATCAGGGTGCAAAAGGGTGCAATCCAAAAATCGTGCAAAAACAGGCAAAAACGGGCAAAGTTGGGCGAGCCAGTATCAAACGCGGGTTGGGCGAACCAGTATCAAACGCGGGTTGGGCGGACCAGTATCACATTTTTGGACGCCGGCGCCGGCCCAACCCGCCGAAGATTGCCCGGCCCAGGGAGCCCTGTCGAGTTTGTCAAGTCTGTCAAACCCAGTGCATCAAAAACAAGTCTGCCTCCAGGCCGGCGTCCTCCGCATCTCTTCGGTCTGAATTCGTACTGGTTCGCCCAACGGGTCTGGCACGGTTCGGTTTTTGTTGCATGCTTATAGGAACTATAGGAAATGGTAGGAACCCATAGGAAATGGTAGGAACCCATAGGAATGCGTAGGAAAATGCGTAAGGTTCCTACAAGGTTCCTACCAATTCCTACCAGTTCCTATAGGTTCCTACAAGCATGCAAGCAAATCGAACCGCTCCCAGACCCGTTGGGCGAACCAGTACTGAGCCAAACCCCCCAGACCCGTTGGGCAGACCAGTCGAGCCTCCAAACAGAGAACCATCCATGCTACCTGCAAAACGGTTGGGCCGACCAGTATCCCCCCACACCAGTTGGGCGGAACAGCAAAAAGAAAATCCACCCCAGGTACCCTCTTCGGAGGCCTCAAAAGCGTTCAAAATCACTCAAAAACAAGCAACATCGTGCAAAAAAATGTGCACTCAAGTCAAAACAAGCCAAAACAGTCAAAAACGAGCAAAAAGCCAACCAGCGGAAGGGTGCAATCAGGGTGCAATTAGGGTGCAATTAGGGTGCAATCAGGGTGCAAAAGGGTGCAATCCAAAAATCGTGCAAAAACACGAAAAAACAGGCAAAGTTGAGCGAGCCAGTATCAAACGTGGGTTGGGCGAGCCAGTATCGAGCGCGGGTTGGCGGACCAGTATCAAGCCCCCAGCGGGTTGGGCGGACCAGTATCAAGCCCAACCCGTGGGGTGTCAAAATCTCAAGAAAAACTTACTGTCGTTCAACAGTGCCAAAACAACTGGCAAAATCTTCACATTGTTCGACGCCGGCGCCGTCCCAACCCGCCGAAGATTGCCCGGCCTCGGCACCGTCCCCGCTCGGGAGACACCCCTGGACCATCGGTGGCCCTCAAAGCCGGCTAATTTAGTACCCTGTTTGGAGGCCTCAAAGCGTTCAAAATCACTCAAAAACAAGCAAAAACGTGCAAAAAAATGTGGACTCAAGCCAAAACAAGCAAAAAACATGCAAAAACGAGCAAAACCCAACCAGCGGAAGGGTGCAATCAGGGTGCAGTTAGGGTGCAATCAGGGTGCAATCAGGGCGCAAAAGGGTGCAACCCCAAAATCGTGCAAAAACAAGCAAAAACGGGCACAGTTGGGCGCGTGTCAAACGCGGGGTTGGGCGAGCCAGTATCAAGCCGGAACGGGTTGGGCGAGCCAGTGATCCTACATGCCCGCCCGGCACCGTGCCCGCTCCGCACGTCCTACCGTACAGTCAAAAAAAAAAACGCCCCCAGCGCCAGACCCGGACCCGTGCTTGCTCGCCAGGATGGTCCGGCCTCACACACTCGGCAAGCCTGACAGGGAAAAACTTCGGGGGTGAACCACATGCCGACTTAAAGCAAAAATCATGCAAAATCTTGCCATGCCAAATTCAAGCAAAATCATGCGTTGCGCAACGCACAGCATGGTTCGGACGTAAGCTGACTGGCTCGGACATAAGCTGATTGGTTCGGACATAAGCTGACTGGTTCGGACATCCGCTGACTGGTTCGGACATAAGCTGACTGGTTCGGACATAAACTGGATGGTGTTTGCAGCTCGATGAGGCACTACTCCAAACCGCTCAATTGTTTCAACCGCAAATCCAATATTGCTCCGGAACTGTATTTTCTAATTCCAAAAAAACATGATGGACTCAACAATATGTTTCCAAGTAAAACTCTTGACATTCACACTGTATTGACGCAAAACATTCATCTATGTTCATCTTGATTTCTCTTTTTGCCACCTCTTCTTCATAGCGTATCTGTGTCTGCAAACTCTGTATTGTTGACGTGCAAAATTCGGAGTACACTTCATCCATCTTGCAGAAAAAGAGTTCACAGAACTCTGCCGTTGCAACTTTTTGTGCAATTAACAGCCTTCTGGGCTCACGCTCACAATGTGCTGCTGCAGCCAACGCACGTTCCAGGAAGGTGCAATGATTGGGCGGACGATCTCAGCAGAGGTCGGTTGGCCCGCTTCAGCCATCGCCCTGAAAGTCGCATACGCTTCAGCCCTGCAAGCCTAGCGATGTCAGGCCGAGGCATTCAACTGTGTCCGATGCATGCGCCCTGGCGTCCGGAACATTTGGCAGCAGCCTCCGTCGCCGCTGCACCAGCCTAGCTTGCATCCGACATGGCCTTCTGACCCAATATCCGCCGTTGCCCTGTCAGCCAGACAACTGGCGATGTCAGCCAGCCGCTTACTCAAGCCGCTCTGACCGGAAAAAAGTGCAGTCACCGCGTGCCAAGCTGCTCACAGCCCAGCGTGCATGGTGACGCTAGCATATGCCCTGCCAGGTACAACCCCACTCTGAAGGGCGGGTGATGAGGCCTTCGGCCCAGCGGGTTCGCTTTTACCGGGGTTGCCTGAAACACTGAAGGGGGGGTCAATGCGCCTCCTGCTCCAGGCGCGCTAGTGCCCTGGAAGCAGTGCAACTTTCAGCAATCCCGGTAAAAAGAACTGCGGCCGCTTCGGACGAGCTTTGTTCTTTTGAGGTTTCATGTTTGGGTTCAAGCTAGGAGCAGTGCGACATGCCTTAACGCTTAGGGTTTCTTTTCCCTTGTGATTAGGGCATGTGGTGAATCGAACTATGCGTTGGCCGTTTTGCTCCTAGCCTTGACCCAAACCTGCGGTTTCATTTCTGAAACCCACCCACCCGCCCTGCACTGCCCTATGCCAGGCTTTGCCAGGATAGATAGCAGTTTCTCTGCACTTTCATGGGTCGCCTCCGGGCACTTTGGTCTCCGGACCAGGTCTCCAGACCAAATTCGGTCTCCGGACCTCGAGTCTCCGGACTTTCGGTCTCCGGACCTTGGGGCGTGGGCACGCATGCCGCGCCCCCCAAGCACTGCATTTACACGCAAGGACACGCATTGTCTTGCCTTTTCACATTTCGGGGGGTCAATGTGCCTCCTGCTCCAGGCGCACTAGTGCCCTGGAAGCAGTGCAACTTTCAGCAATCCCGGTAAAAAGAACTGCGGCCGCTTCGGACGAGCTTTGTTCTTTTGAGGTTTCATGTTTGGGTTCAAGCTAGGAGCAGTGCGACATGCCTTAACTTTTTTGATTGTACCTTCTTGGGCTTGTATTGCAGCTGTGATGGTTGACACTTTTCCGGGGTTGTGTTGAACGTTTGGGGAATGCTTCCCTTAGTGGGCGTCAGTGGTTCTGGCGCTTGTTCTAAGCTGTGTTCTGAAGTTGGTATGCTGGAAGCTTTGTGGCGGGATTTTATCTTTTCGATTTTCTTGCGTTGTGACCAATGCCATTGTCAATGTGAGTTTTTTCGTGTGGATTTTTGCTTTCGTGGGCAGGCATTACTAGACGGTAAGTCTTTCGCGTTGTGCAGGTGCTTGATGGCATGAGAGTCGATGTGTCCATTGCTGCAGGTGTTGGCGCAAACCCACTGAGTTGATGTTCGTCACTCCAGCAGTCAGCCGCAGCCTTCATGAGATACAATGCACTTTTTGCACCCAGGCTATTTGCTATTTGCCATACTATCATGCACACATTCAGCACCCAAATTGCGAGACACTTGTGCTGACCCCTGCCATGAAGCGACTTGCAGGCGATGGAGAAAAACCTGCAGCTAAGAAGCTGCGAACACTGCCGCCCATTGGAGAAGTTGCTGATGGACAGCAACATGTTTTCATTTCTTTACAGGGATATGCTGAGAAGGTTGGCGAGCTGTTTGAATGCGGACATAGTGTTGTATTCATCCGCGGCGCCACACTCACGAAGCATTTGGCGCGCTTTTCTGAGAAATATGTAAATGTGCCCTTCACCGTACAGTGGAAGCCGTGCAAAAGGCAACAGGCAAAGTTGACGGAGATGGTTCAGCCTTCACGAATGCGCTGAGGCGAGCCAAGGAAAAGAACTTGACCCTCATCTTTGATGAAGCTCACACGCTGTTTTCCTCAGGCACTCTGTGCGCAGACCTGTTCAAATCAGACACAGACTATCGACCACGGGTCTTGCTGTTCTCAGCTTCAGGTGATGCTGCAACTGCATCAAACGTCTCCCAGGCAACACCCAATGAAATCACCCAGAAATTCATGTGGACACCACCGCTGCCCTTCACCCCAGAGCTGAAGACACAGCTGGAGGACAGTGGCATCAAGCTGGACCAGAAGAGCATCGAGTTCTTCGCCCTCTTTTGTGGTGGGCATCGCGGCATTTTCATCGCTGCGATGCACTGGGTGAAGAGCATGCAGAACGGTGAAGGCTGGGAATTCGACAGGACTGTGGAGCTTGTGCGCTGCAGCTATGGCAATGGGGATTGGACAACTGGCACAGAGATTTTAGCGTTTGTGAGACAGAGTCGTGCAGTGCGTATCAATGGTAGGTTCAACGCTCTTGAACAAATTCCTCGGGAGTTTGCAGAGCTGCTGTGCAAAGGGGCAACCAGCATCGCAAAAGCGGACGTTCGGAGAGAGCTTACCATCAACGGCTTTGTACTTCCCAAACATGACAGAGGCATTGAGGGAGAGTTCCAAAAACTGGATTGGAACAACGCACACATGACATACCAAGTGGCAAACCCTCTACTGGCCTCGTATTACCGCTTCGTTCTGGCGAAGGAATGCGGTTTAGAGGTTCAGCTTGAGCCCAGCAATCCCCAACATTGTGCTGATTTATTGCTGCGAGCCCTACCCTACGCGTTCTTTGCCGAAGTGGTGTGTTTCTCATTGTCAAGAAAGCTGCTACCTCACGAAGTCCAGTACAACCAGTGCTTTCAGGCAATATGGAAGAAGTTGAACTACCGTGCCCTCGAATTCCACAGCTCATGTACTGGTGAAGGCAAGCCCGATTGCGCCGTGCAGATCGAGAAGGAGACTTTTGTCTTGGAGGGTGTGATGCATGTCCGCGGGCAGGGACAAATCAATCAGCACCTTCAGCGCTTCAACAACATGGTCAACTACAAGAACGCCAAGCACCAGGGTCTCTACATCATCGGCAACGACAGCGACAAGATGCTCAAGACCTTGAAAAACACTAAAGCCGGTAAGGTTCAACTGATAGGCTTAGTCCCCAACATCGCCCACACCGCGTACACTGTCCACGTCAAGAGTGAGGGCATCGAAGGCATCAACACCTGCAACGTGGACTGCGACCTTGTGGCAAGAAGGTTGGTGCTCAAAGACGATGGCAAACCTGAGCTCCACAGCGTGCAGTCGCTCAAGAGCATCAACCTGTCTCCAAAAGCTGAGACCAGCCCCTTGCACTTGCTTTGCACCGCCTTGTTTTGTCGGTCTTCCGGTGTTTTGCCCGTTTTTTGAGGGGATATGCCAGTTTTTTCATTCAGTTCATGGGTTGTCAGTTGCAAGAGCCAAGGTCAGCCTGCGAAGACAGAGATGGTCTGGGTGCGAGAGTTGAAGGAGGAGAACGGCGAGTACAAGCTGGTGGGCAATGCCCTTCCAACCGAGCCTGTGCCGAAGAACATCGGCTTCCTGAAGGAGGTCATCAAGGAGAAGGCGCAGTTGCAACCGCCTGCTCACACTCTCACCGTCTACCACCTCACCGAAGGCACGTGGGAGGAGGAGAAGAAGATGAGCGCTGCATTGCGCCCTTCCACGGAAGAGACTCCTTACGGGTATCTTGTACCATAGCAATATGGTTTCTTGCACTTTGCACTTCAAGTTTCAAGTTTCACTCAGAACAGCGCGTTTCGATACACATTCGCAGGGGTGGTTGGCAGACGATGCTTTTGCTTGAGCATGAGCATGGCAAGAGCAGAACAATTGATGTTGTAAGACCAGTCCAACCCCACTCGGATTGAAGCAGTCAAGTTTCACCCAGCACAGCCAGCACAGTCGTGAACAGTTTGTTAAGGCTTGCTTCCGTGGCGGAATTGTCTGTGCCGGAAGGCATGCTAAACGAGTAGTGCCCACCACCAATGTGACTGTGGGTTGCTTGCAGCAGTGCTAACTGAGCAAGAGTTTCAAAGCATGCGATGTACCGCTGTCCTGGCTTGACAAGGCAAGGCCACACGGCTCTTATGTCTTGCATGTTCCAGGTCTCGGCGAACCACACCACTTGGGAGGATGTGATTGCCCAGCCCCCAATCCCCACCATATCATCTTCGGCACACGCGTCGGCGGCAGCCAGAGCTTGCAGCTGGTGTGGCCGCGCCAAAGGCTGAATAGGCGAGTGTCGAAAGCACGACGCCAGCCAAGTAAGGCACTGTTGGCTTGACTTGGAAAGGCTGGTGTATGGGTTGTTGGGGTCCGCGATGCGCACCCATGTGGGCTTGCTAGTGCCAGGCACTTGCGGGATGTCTTGGGGGCAATGCATGGTGCGGCCTGAAATTTCCAAGATTTTGGAGCCCACTGTGATCCACAAGCCCGGGAGGCTATGGCTAGTTTTGAGGTCCTTAGTCAAGGATGCTCTAAAGGCTGACCACATTTGCGGCGGTATTGAGTGCATGGAGCCTGGTGGGCTGTTGAGGTCCGCGTACAGCGGTGCTAGCCAGGACCTGAGGTGTAGAGCAATGCTAGTGGCCCAAATAAGCAGGCCTATGCACTGCTCGAGTGTTTTGCGGGGCACACGTCGATTTCCCAAAAGGGATTTGATCAAGGCGTCCAGCTTGGCTAGCTTAGCGGACACGAGCTGAATGGTGTCGTGAGAGAAGTTGATCTCCCAACGCACCAAACCAGGCTATCCTGGAATTGCGCCTTTTTCCACGAAATGGGTGCTGCAATGGCACAAAAGAAGAGCACCACCAAGGCAAACATGTCTGGCGCGCTGCCGGAAGAGTGCACAGAGCAGGTCATCCACAAAGAGGAAGGCTTTGTGTGGCTTCCAGGCTAGCAACCCATGCACCTGACGAAGCAAGAATGCGCCGGTGCGCTGCCACCAGAAAGCCGAGAAACGGCCCCCAAAATGGCACACCCTGTAGTGGTAGAGCTTCCCTTGAAAGGCGAAGAGTAGAAGGCCATGCTCTTCCGGGCGGACCTGCACTTGTTTGTGTGCGGCTTTAAAGTCAATGCTGGCGCCTATGAAGGCGCCTGGAGTGTCTTCTGGCTGCGTGGACAGCGCCAAATCAGATGCCATTGGCAAGCTAAGGCGCTCTGGCAAATGGCATCTGGTATTGACTTAGCACACGGCGCTATCCAAGACAAGGCGCGGCTCTTTGCCTTCGGCGAACACGACATTTAGCTTGCCCACGGCAATGCCTAAGGGCCATTTTTCCCGAGCGTCGGCTATGCTAAGGCTGGTTTCAACAATCCAGTTGTTGGCAATTTCATTGCGCAGCAAGCCTTGCACGGTTTCTGGCTCGTCTTCGGCCATCTTCCAGTTGCCTTCACAAACTTCCAGATCCGGCGGCAGCATGGAGTCTGGCTTCTTTGCTGGCCATTGAAGGCTTGGTGGCAAGGCTGATACGGCTCCTGTCAGCACTCCGTGTTGCAAAAATGGCAAGAGGGCCATGTCTGGGTCACCCCAAGATGTGGCCACAGCATGCAGCAAATGGAGTCGGTATGGCTGTCCTGCCTCGGGGCTCATATCTGAAGGGCAGGGCAGTTTTAAAGCGGTATACGCTAGAGTTGCCACTTTCAGGCTTTCGGAGGGCGAGAGTGGGGAGTGCGAAGAACCGCTTTTGATGTGTGCCAGGATACGTGGCACGAGTTTGCGCTCATGCATCCAGTGCAGCCAGGGTCTGGCGACTGCCTGCAGCGGGTGTTCGGGTTTGGGGAGACACCAATCTGCGGATGAGTGCATTCCTGCTCCATCGCAGGTGGGGAGCCTGCAAGGCGCCAAAGTGACGGTTCTAGGGGAGTTGGAGTGCAGTGGCAGTGCTTGCCGGAAGGAGCCTGTTTTACTTACCTTCCTACGCCTATTTGGGCCAATTGCAGGCCAGGGAAGGGGGGTATTCTGCAGTTAGCGTGCTGAGGTATACCCCTTGGTCCTTCACGCCTGCAATGCTTTGATGCTTGGTAGAGCCCTGTTCAGAGCAGTGGTCTCCAAAGGGGGCGTGAGCATTTGGGAGCAGCCACCATCAGCCATGTCCTGGTTGGAAGAGGCTAACTTCCAAATGCTACGCGATCACCAGTGTGCCCTTGTGTGGGTAGACGCCTGCATGCACGACAAAGCCTTCGCTAAGTCATGGGCATTCGGCAGCAACAGTTCGAAAGTACAGGCCCTGCAGGCCCGCTGCAATCACTCACACGCGGTCGTGGATGGTTTTGCTATCCAGCAATTTTTTACGCTGCGCAGGCGAAAGGCCGGGGACCCCGTCCATGCTCAAGGCTTTGGGCCCGCCCGGGCGAAGTTTGAGTCTGGAGTATTCTTTGCAAGGCGGGGCAAGCATGATCAGGGCCACGATTCCTGACCAGCAGAGTCTGAGGAGTGCCTCGAAGACTCTGTCATCCAGGATGTTGTGCGCAGTATCACCATCCAGGTCAAAAGGCTCAAAGCAGTCAAGGCCAAGGCTAATGGCGGCCGACGTCACTGGGTGCAGCCTACCTGCAAACACGTCCAAAAAGAGCCGCTTTGAGGCTGGATGCAACTGTGAGTCCGATGAGCTTGCCCGGGCGGGCGCATGTGGCTTTGGCCTAGGGCTGGGTTCGCTACGGCGTGCGGAAGGCAAGGCTGGCGTCAGGGCCGTTTGCCCTGGCCCCTGCGAGGGTGAGCACGGTTCATGAGTCCCGTCGTGGGGCAAGGCCGGCGGAGGCATGGCTGCCCGATCCTGTGCCGGTCCAAGATCCGGGCTGTTTCACGTGTGTTTATTGTGATCCATGGCAGGATGCTTTTGCTGGCAGCCTACTATGGCACACACGTGGGCGAAAGGGCAGTGGTCATTAGTGCAACTGCCCGTCTGGTAGCGCCGGCAAACCTCTCTACCTTTATATGTAGTACACCAATCTGCCTTGGGCTTTGGCGAAGGCGAGGCTCCTTTGGATTTGCCCTTGCCTTTCTTGGTGGGGCGTGAAGGCATGCGGGTTGGCTTAAGGTCGCGCTTGGGTGCTCTTTGCCCTGGTGTTGTGGGGCGTGGAGGTGCTGGCACGGATGGCTTGGACATTTTTGGGCGCAATTGTAGAAGGCTGTGCACATCGTTTCTCATGTGCGTCAGTTCGTACAAGGCATCATCTAGGGACCATTGCTGCCCCAGAAGGTCGGATATGGCTGCCCAGAGCTTGCGATCGGCTGACAGAAGCTCTTGGGTATTCACCGTGCGAAGGCCTAGGTTTGGATCTGGCTGTGCGAGACACAGATCGGCTATCTTCTTGTCGAAGGCCTTGAGGTTCGACAGGTGCGCTGCTTGGCACAGGGCTAGGGCATTGCGAAACACGGTCTGGATACGGGTGAGCCATCCCGCTGCCAGCGAGTGGTGCTCCACAGACACTTCTGGTGTGTCGTCAAAGAAGGCCTGACTCAGGAGCTGCAACTCCGAGCGAACTGCTCGGGCCGACTTTGCTTCCATGCGTTCCTGGTATTGCCGTGATGAGAGGCGATACTGCCAGGGCACCCACTTCAGGGACTGCCCGAGCTTCAGGCCCTCGTGCACGAGGCTCAGAAGGCGGATGGACGGCGTGGTGTCCGCGTCCAGCAGCTCACCTGGGCAGTTGGATTTGAAGGCTTCTATCAGGCTGGACACGCGTTCGGATGTGAGCTTGGGCAAGTGCTCTGCCCAAGATGCGATTTGATTGGGCTGCATGCATGGCGATCCGGAACTGGCGGCCGGTTCGGGAGGCTCTGAGCGCAGGCTGAGCCGATGGCACTCGGCTAGGGCTTTCCTAAGGCGCGCTGCTGCCACACTAGATTCTGGATCCTCTATGTTGTTGGCAGTCCAGAAGTCCCTGGCAGAAACTATGAAAGGCTGCAAGTCTGCAATGTTCGGGAAGGCGAAGGCGAAGTCAGACGGGCAGTCGAAGCCTCTAGCCAAAACGAGGTCCTGCAGGCCTTCAGGGACCCTGGCTTCAGGACGTCCTGTAGCCGATCGCGGTCCATGTGCATCAGTAATGAATGCTTTGAGGGCGGTTTGAGCGGAAAAGAGGATAGCTGCGAATGTGTACAGTCAGTGCAGATGGCAGGCACTGGACCGGCACTTGAGCACTGCTGAGTCGCCGACCTCGAAAAGGCGTACCTAGGTTATCGACTCGTGTCAAGTCTCGGCGGTGCTGTGTGTGTCAAGGCGGCGCATGAGCGTTGATTTTAGCACAGCACGGCCATGCACGCCTTGCGTTTGCAGAGCTGCATGTCGGGATGAATCTGATGCACCGGGTACGAGCAATGCTTGAGGTGCAAGCCACAAGATGTCTGTACTGAGTTGCCGTGAGTGCACTGCACGGCATGCACGGATCCCCAGGGCACCAGGCGGACGCCAATGGAGTCGACTGCAAGGGCTGGCTCTTGCGTGCAAGGCGAGAGAACTGGTGAGCACGCCTGCTCCTCTGGTGGCTCTTCTTCGGATTCGGCCTCCGAAGATTCCAAGGCGGCTCTTGCCACGGCAAGAGCTTCCTCATCTGCATCCAGGGCTGTGGACAGCAAGTTGTCCACTTCCCTGTGATACAGGAATCTTGTCAGGCTGGGCGGGAGGCTCTGAAGCTGCAGATGGCTGGGAGGGCTGCCCTGTAAAAACCTGAAAGGCTGGTTCCACGCTGCCCCCCCC